AAATTTTAATTAATCTTTTTATAATAAAATTTTAAAATAATAAATTATATTAATATTTTTTAATAACTATTTATTTCAACATCATAATTTTAAGAGAATTTATATTTTTTTTCCCTAAAGATATATTATGAAACTGACATTGTACGTTTGCTTTAAAATATTGTACCTTGTCACCGGTAAATCTAATACGTGCCGCTTTCTCGCGGCGCCAAAATTCGAAGCCCCAAATGAATCTTCATCTTCTTGCAAGAAAGGCGTCTTCCGGCGGAACATCTCGTTATTACTCTTCTGCCACTGCACTCGATTCACCTCTCAGTCTCCTCCATCTTCTTTACCTCTCAACTACCCACTATTCTCTGCATCTCGCCAAGCAAACCCATGCCCGAATCATCTCTATTGGGTTCACACAGAACCCGTTTTTAGCTACAAAACTCGTCTCTGCTTATGCCGCTTTTGGTTATGTAACAGGGTCTAAACTTGTTTTTGAGTTGATGGAAGATAAGAATGTCTGCCTATGGAACTCACTGATTAATGGGTACGCGAAAAATGGTGCAAACTATGAAGCTTTTGATTTGTTTAACGGAATGTGCAGAAGTAATGTATTGCCTGATGATTTTACACTTGCAACGGTGTCCAAAGTTGCTGGTGAGATTGGGGACTTGAATGTGGGGAAATTGGTTCATAGTAAGAGTATACAAAGTGGGTCTGTTCTAGATACGGTTGTTGCCAATTCGCTAATGTCAATGTATGGTAAATGTGGGGAACTTGGTGAGACACGGAAACTGTTTGATGAAATACCAAGAAGAAATGCGGGTTCTTGGAATGCACTAATTGCGGGATATGCAAACTCAGGGGATTGTAGTTTACGTAATGATTTGTGGGAAATTGTTAAATGTATGCAAATTGATGGGATGAAACTTGATGGATTCACTATATCTATGCTTTTGCCTTTGAGTGGCCTGGAGGAAACGGGGAAATGGGATTATGGGAGGGAGCTTCACTGTTATATACTGAAGAATGGATTGGGTATGGGTTGTGGTTCAGATGTTCATTTAGATAGCTGTTTGATTGATATGTATTCAAGGAGTAATAAAGTTGTAACTGGTAGAAATGTTTTTGATCGGATGAAATGCAGAAACGTTTATGCTTGGACAGCAATGATCAATGGTTATGTGGACAAAGGAGATTTGGATGAAGCTCTGTCCCTTTTCCGTGACATGCAGGTTAGAGATGGCATAGAACCCAATAAAGTTTCACTTGTGAGTGTTCTTCCTGCTTGTAGTTCTCTTGCTGGTTTAATGGCAGGGAAACAGATTCATGGATATGCAATTAGAAAGGACATGAATCATGATGTGGCGTTGTACAATGCTTTGATTGATATGTATTCCAAGTGTGGGAGTTTGAATTGTGCTAAACAAATTTTTTATAATAGTTTCTTTCTTAAAGATGCCATATCCTGGAGTTCCATGATTAATGCATATGGATTGCACGGAAAGGGTGAAGAAGCTGTATCTTTGTATGATCAGATGCTTTGGCAAGGAAGCAAACCAGACATGATAACCCTAGTGGGGGTACTTTCAGCTTGTTGCCGATCAGGATTGGTAAATGAAGGCCTTAGCATATATAACTCAGTAATAAATAAATACGGGATAAAGCCAACGGCAGAGATCTGTGCCTGTGTTGTTGACATGCTAGGTCGATCAGGACAACTTGATAGAGCATTGGAGTTTATCAAGACAATGTCTGTTGAACCTGGGCCAAGTGTGTGGGGAGCACTCATTAATGGTTCTGTAATGCATGGGAATATTGAGATGCAGGAGCTTGCCTACAGTTTCCTTATCCAGTTGGAACCTGAGAATCCCTCAAACTATATCTCACTATCGAATTTACATGCTTCTTCTAAAAGATGGGATGCTGTAGCCGAATTGAGAAAAGTGATGAAAGAAAAGGGTTTGAGAAAAACACCTGGATGCAGTTGGATTAGCATTAATGGCAAAACTCATTGTTTTTCTGTTGCTGACAAAGCACATCCTTATGCGAATCTAACTTATCAGATGCTGGATGACTTAATCTCCACAATGAAGGGAGCTGGTCCTATTGATTTTGAATATTTTTGAAATAAATCACTAAAATGTTGATGGTTGATATGCTGTGTATGCTTGCCTGAGAGCTGAGTGCATAGGTTGTTTATTGTCTTGTATCACACAATGATCATGACCACAGAGCAATGACCCTAACCCTGTATCATGGCCTTTTCCCCAAAATATCTTATTGCTTTAGGGTATGTTTTGCATAGCCATAATTTGCTTTCCAAAGGACTACAAGATAGACATATTGTACATCCTGTCTCTGTAAATCACGTTAATCAAATGACAAAACCAGGGCGAGGTAATTAGGCAAATCAGTAGGCTTGAACTGAATGCCTTCTCACTTATGTAATATCCTTACGTATGTAGGATTTTCTCATACAAGAAACAGTAAAACCATGTACATTTACTGTTGCAAAAATGTTGCATTTTCAGCAACCCTGGAGTACCTGCAGATTACATTGTCCTTCCACAAGCATGCTGATACAGATCATCTGGGTGCCTTTATTGCTTTGGCATCAGTCTTTGCGCCAGCAAATTCATGTTGAGCTTCCAAATTGCTAAAAGATGGTTTCACTAGAATAGCAGCAGAAATGGAAGCAAAGGATGCTTGAAAGAAATTGGATGGAACAATTTTGCAGGTCCAAGTGGAAGTAATGAAGGAGAAGGAGAAGCTCCTTCTGAATGTACAATAACGACCTGGGCTTCTATAATGGCTGACATGTGCGAGGAAGCAATAACTGATGTGCAGAGACTGGAGCCATCAACTTAAGAGAAGAACTGGTACCTCAGCTTTCTTGCTCTACTGTTTCTGAAGAATTCTTACCACAAAACTCTGTAACTTCTTTATTTTGGTGCCTCTGATTCCCTTTCTCGGCGATAAACAAATATTGAACCAACCACTACTCTTCCTACTCTTCTGTTTCTCCGAGTTCTTTTACTCATAACTCTCTTTCTTTCCTTCTCCGGAACAGATTGACACATGGGGACATGATGTATCCATCCCAAAGGTACAAGTGCTGCAAGGAACTGTATCAAAATTCCAGCAGGCAGGCTTGAGTAGTCGCCAGATGTTATTCCAAGCCAAGAAGCCAGTCCAACACCCAGAAACCCACTGAAAACTGATGACAGACACAACACAGATGCGGAAAATGAAGTAAGAGATCCTTCACAACCCTGGGGACATAAACTTGCCAGCAGCACTGAAAAAGGAAGGATCTTAAATTGTGCAAGAGGTTCTGCTAAACCAGAGAAACCAAGGGCAAACACTTCATTGGGAATTCCGAGTCCAACATTAATCTGTCTTACCAAAACGAGGTCTAGAAGAAGGGAAGATGCATAGAGAACCTGTATGGCACCAATCAGTTTTCTCATCGGCATTTCTTTCCAGTAACGATTGTAAAGAACAGTCAAGGAAAGAAGCATCAACTGGCCAATCACTCGTGACATCCCAATAACTGATGGATCAAGATTTAGACATTGTGTTTGATAGCAAAAGATTGAACCAGACAGAACGGGAACCATGGCAATAGCAGCAACAACCCAAATAAGAGGTCGAGAGATGCTTTCCTCACTAATAGCTGTCATAAGATCACATAGCTGTTTTCTTATACTTTCTGGAACCGATTTTCGGGCCAGACTAGACTCTGATGGTCTAGCAAAATCAAGAGATTCCTCTCGTGCTGATAAAGCAATTGCAAGTTGAAGAGATAATAAAATTGAGAATATGAGGAATATGGTTCTGGGTGGTGCTTTGAGCAAGAAACACCCCCCTACTAAGTTTCCCAGGATTCCACCCATGGCTGAAGCCATGAAAGCATAAGGCTGGAGTCCAGCAATTTTGTGTTTTTGTGCATATTCTGCCACAAGAGCGTCCTTTGCAACTTCTGTAATGGATGCTCCCAGATTACTTAGGAGAACACATGCCATAAGAGTAGGAAGGGCTTTGCCTGCAACAGGAATCAGTGCCAATGATCCCCAAGACAGGACCTGCAAAAAGACTGAACATTTGCTCGTCAGTAGACACATATAATTCAATGAGCCTTTCAGTAATAGAATATATATTGTTTCTGTTATTTCCAAACCATGAATCTGAAAACGAAGATATCTTGCGGCAATCATTATCAATGGCTTCAGAATCTTGTGCTTGGTGTGAAGCAAGACTTACAGAAGGAATAACAGAATTCATAAAAGGGTTAGTTGCTCTCTGCCATTCAAAGCATAATTCTTTTTTCTTTTAACCCAAGCAAAGAAGTTTCAACTTTTACACAGAATCTGAAATATGCAGGTATCCTGTTTCCTTTCAAAGAGAGTTTGGAATTTGAAGAATGAAACAAACAAAATCCAATGCATAAATTAAGTTGAACAGGAACAACATAAGCAGGGAAAACAAAACAAGATAAACAAAGTATCCAAAAAACTATACTAGGTATGAGAAATGAACAAACCTCCAATGGAAATATAAGGTATCCGATGAGCACCACCAATAGAAAGAGCATCAGATAGCACCCCATAGAGAGGCTTAGCCACCATGGGAAGGTTCCCAAAGTTCTGCACAAGCTGCAATGTTGATGGATACAAATTCAGATTATGAGCCATGTGGAAGTTGAGGGCCAACCACGGAAAGCACCTGAAGCCTTGCACCCAGTACCCAAACCCACACAAAACCATCATCTCTTCCCTTCCGGCATGAGAAAACCAACTTCTCTTCTCATTTCCCCTGTTTTTCTTCTTCTTGGGAGAAACCTCCCTAGTAGTTGTCAATATGATAGGGTCTATAACATGGGTTTTGGGTTTTCTGTCCTCAATGGTATTAGGACTACTAGAAATTTTATGGTGCTGAGCAGAACAGTAGATTGGTTTCAAGTGAAGCTGATGAGATGACACCCTTCTACAAGTGTAAACCATTTTTGGGATTCTTGGTCTGTTTGTAATGGAAAGATTATCAGTAAAACTCAATGGAAAAACCATTTTTTTTTTCTGGGTTTTGGAACCTTAACAAAAATGGAAACTGAGATTTCCAGGGAAAGCGACAGAAAATGGAACAGAAAACAAACCCTCCTGGTGAAATGTTTAAAGGAGGAGGAAGAGTATGGAATTGAGGAGGATTCAGGGGGAAGAGAAAGATCTAGAAGAGCGTGGGAAAGGGATTAGTAAATTGCAAAAACGAAATCATTTTTCCCATTTTTCCCTTGAAAGCGGGGGAGGGCTAAAGACGATTCCAGTTTAATTTAATCTTTTTCCGGGGGATTTGGAGGGGCCCACCATGCGCCAGTTTATGGGACGTTGACGGTCCTAAGTTGGCAGCAGTGTCAAATCATGGCCCAATCAAGATGTGTCTGTATGACAAGTGTACGGCGTTGCTTTTCCGAAGTGGAATAGACGGTGATCGAGCACGCGCGGTTGTTACACGCACTTTTACTCTTGCCCCGTCGACGTTGCCGGCGTTTCGCTGGTAATGAAACGACGGCCGTTCTCCCCTTGTCTCTCCCTGTTTTCTCATTGAACTGAGAACCACCGGTCAGAACACCGACGACGCTGTCTCCGTCGTGATTACAACCTCCATTCGTGGCCCAAAAAACGGCGTTCGTGACCAAGCAACCTGATGAATACCAATCAAACTTGGACACCCGTAAGAAAACTAATGGAAGAAAGTAGCAGCCAACCACCCAAAACCACCGCAAGCAGCGATCTTGTGGTTGGGGGAAGAATAGACTTTGACGTCGCTCCGGCGTAATCGTCTCTGTTTCTGACAGCAGTCCTGTTGTCTGTGTGGGACTCGTTGTGTTCCGTAAAAGGGAGATAGGACCGATCTGGGGAGAGAAAGAGAGGAAAGGAGGAAATAGGGAATAAAGAGAAAGGAGCACCGTCGCCGGCGACGGTGTCCTGTTTCCAAAGAAGGCGAAACTGCGTGCGAGAAAGAGTCAATTCCTCTAGAAAGGGTGAAAGACAG